TGTGTGTGTGTGTGTGTGTGTGTGTGTGTGTGTGTGTGTGTGTGTGTGTGTGTGTGTGTGTGTGTGTGTGTGTGTGTGTATGTAAATCTCTTGTAACTTTTGAACGACTTGACCGATTTCATCGCGGTTGGGGTCATTCGAAAGGGCTTCACTAAACTTAGATTTCCTGAAAATTTGAACCGATTCGGACCGGTAGATTTCGAGAAAATCCAAAAAAAATGAAAAAAAAGTGAAAAAAAAAGTTGTTTTTTTTTCATTTTTTTTAAATATCTCCGAATTGGCTGAACCGATCGGTCTCAAAAACTAATCAGCTCTTAACCTGGAAAACCCCCATGGATCGCCACCAAAAACGTCAGAATCGGTTGATGCGTTCGGGAGGTATCGTTGTCGAAAAAAATCGAAAAAAGTGTTTTTTTGTGATAACTTGGAAATTTATGGCTCGATCGATTTAAACTTGAAAATTTTTTATGGAGCTTCAAAAACTGCGTCGATTGCCGCCAACCGTGTGAAAATCGGTTCATTCATTCAAAAGTTATTGCCGTTTGAAAATTCAAAAAAATGTGTCTTTAAACTGCTATTAGAGTTTCGAGCTCGAAGAGTTCAAATTGACACAAAAATAATATTTTTGAGCTCGAAGAGCTCAAAAACGTAATGTGTAGTTTGAAGCGTTTCAGTACAAAATGAGCGGGAAGTTGCAGGGATGGCCTTTAGGGTGAACCGATTTTCTAATTTTTTTTTCTGTGTATAGACCAGTATATAAGTGCTAATAATTTATCCGTATTTTTTGTCTATTTTTATTAAAGACACAGAAAAGGCTCTTCTCTTTTACCATTTCATAAAATGGTAAGAATTATGCAGCAATGGCAAAAAAAGATTTGTCCGCCAACTTCAAATTCCCTTGGAGAATACTACTTACGACTAAAAATGAATCGCTGGAAACATTTATACCAATCAAATGATAGTAATTTATCAGTTACAAACGTTTACGGGAGTGACGGATCCATTGCTACTGTTTTTATTGATCCTGACTTCGTTGACAATATTCACGAAACTCATTTATACGTAGATGCTACTTATAAAGTTTGTCCGACTAATCCTAAAGGAATTTACCAGTTTCTTACAATTATGGCATCATTTAATGACTCGGTAAGATGAGAAAAAATTTTATTCCGAACAAACATTAATTATAATTGATATATTACTTTTTTTTAGATTTTGCCTGTTGCCTGGAGTTTGATGTCAAAAAAATCTACCCAGTGTTATGTAGCTGTTATTTCACATTTCAAAGCCTTATCTCAGCATATGAGGGTACTATCATATATGACAGATTTTGAGGGCGGTCTTCGCAAAGCATTAATTAATGTATCCAAATGCAACTGCAGAATCTTGTTATTTTCATTTTATTCAAGTTAGTTATAAGAGTGAAAGATATAATTTAATACTTACTTTTTTTTATTCTATTCGAGAAAATAATTGATGTTTGTGTTTAACTAGGCCAATATTAAAAAAGCCAAAAAATTGGGTCTTCTAAAAAAATTAGAAAATTGGGAGGATGGAAAAAACTTTTTCAGAAAATTATTAGCGCTAGCATTACTGCCCAGTACTGACATAATACAAACATTTGATTGGTTGATTAGGATTCACGCTCCTTTCTATCCTATTTTTGAGACTTTTATTACATACTTTGAAGACTACTGGTTGAACAACATCAAACCTGCTGGATTCAGTGTTTATAAATTGAAAAATCGGACGAATAATTACACAGAAGCTTACCATCGGCGACTCAACAGATTTTTTGGTGTTCATTCATCGATATGGCAATTCACAAGTAACATACTTTAATTATTTTTGTAAAACGATCTTAATGTAGATTTTTATTTTTTTAATTTTGATTTTTTTAGTTAGCCTTCGAGATTTCCATGATATTACAAAAATTGAAATTCACTCGCTTTTACTATCATTGCCGATACGTCGAGCTTCACGAACAAAAAATACGGTCCGAGCTGAAGCATTAGAAAAAACATGGGAATGGTATGATGCGATTGTGCTTGATATTCCCCGATTTCTTGAATATGTAGCTCATATATCATCTATTTTTCGCAATAAAAATATGCAAATTAATATTGGCGATATTAATAACTTCATCAATACTCCGATATACAGATATAGTAAGTGTAAAAATTTAGAAAAACGGTTATAAAATTTGATTGGTATATTTATATTAAATTGATTTTAATCAGTTGCAGTTCCGGATAATCAATATATTGTTTTTAATAATGATGCTGCAAATTATTTCAATTATATATTACATCAGCATTGAAAATTTTTCTAAATAACAGCTGCTGAAATTTATGAATAAATTTTTTCCATCATTTTAAAAATTTGAGAATATGAAAATAATTAAAAGTTGTTCTCCTTTTATTTTTTTATCATTTAAAAAAAGTTAATTAATATATTTAATACGTATGCTTTATTGAGTACATCTACGAAGATGATATTTAGATTTTTAATGTTGTGTAAAACTAATTATTTAGTGTTGTTCTACACTTATTGTTCTAATAACAAAATAAAGTTTATAATACAATTTATACGTGTGCTGAAATACAAAATTACAGTTAGTTCATATTGTAATTAACAAATAAAGTAAAACTATGTATAATTGAAAATTATAATTATTTTTACTGATTTTCCAAACTTAAATTCTTTATTTAATTTCTAATAAGCCAGAAATTATTCAAATGCTACTTTTTTAGGTTTTATGTTATTTTCAGTTTCATAATAAAATGAAAGTAGTTTATAAAAAAGTGCGGTGAAATTTCAAAACAACTCATACTTAATAGCTCATTCGTCGTAAATATCTCTTAAATCACAAAAAGTTGATACTACAGATTTGTAAAGTTCGTTTTTAAAATTAAAAATTGGGGCTAAATTGAAATTTTTTGCATGACTGTGCTGTTTTAGCAAAACAACAGAGTTTCCTTGACTTATCACACCTTTTTTTTGGTTTTCAAGTGACATGTAACATCCCGGATATATAATAAATACAATAAATAACTTTTAAGGTGATTTTTCTATAATTTTAGAGAAAATTATGTATGTTTAAAAGCTGGCTTGATAATTGCAACTTAAAAAGTTGTTAAATATTAATGACTATGAATCTAATAGACATTAATTAATTTTTTAAGTAGTCAAAAAATCAATAAATAATACAGTTATCGAAAAATAAAATAATATACACATATGAATATTTAAAACGTTAAAATTTACATGTGCATTTTTTTAAATTAATTATTTCTTTAAATTAATCTACTTTTTTAAGATTTACTATTTTTTTTTTCTATTTTCTGAATTTATATTCAAGAAATATTTTTATGTAAGAAATATTTTTAAACTCGATCGAAAATAAAAATAATTACAACATTTCTAATCAATTAAATCATGTCAAATGAGTATATCTATTCAAAGTCAATATAGAAAAAAAACACGCTTTTTATAGAAAACCAAACTAAAAAAAAAATAAATTTAAATTAAGAATAGTGTTAAAAATTTCAATAAATAT